ACAAACATGCCTGAGAGTTGGGTTCGGGCTGAATGAAACTTAGGTGGACAGGAAACATTTCCATAAAATTTCAGCTTTCTAGCTTCTCAGATCCGAGAGTTATGAATTTGCGCGAGAGAAATTTTGGGGGGCCCGTACGCGGGTACCACGCTTACCCGGGGGCTGGGTTTGAGCTCATTAGCATCTGCTTGGACGGGGAACATTACCCTAAAATTTCAGCTTTCTAGCATCTCAGAACCCCAATTAGCATATGCTTGGACGGGGAACATTCCCCTAAAATTTCAGCTTTCTAGCATCTCAGAACCCCGATCAGCACCTGCTTGGACGGGGAACGTTCCCCTAAAATTTCAGCTTTCTAGCATCTCAGAACCCCGAGCATGAACTTGCGCGGGAAAAATTTTGGGGGGCTCGTATGCGGGTACCACGCTTACCCGGGGGCTGGATATGAGCTCATTAGCACCTGCTTGGACGGGGAACACTACCCTAAAATTTCAGCTTTCTGGCATCTCAGAACCCCGAGTTATGAATTTGCGCGGGAAAAATTTTGGGGGGCCCCGCACGCGGGAACCACGCTTACCCGGGGGCTGGATTTGAGCCACTTGGGCGGGGAACATTACCCCAAGATTTCAGCCTTCTAGCTTCTCAGATCCCCGAGTTATGAACTGCCCGAAAAAAATTTTGGCGAGTTCGTACGGGGGGTACATGGTACCGTACGAACCCGCCAAAATTTTTTTACCCGGGGGTGGGTTTGAGCCCAATAACAGCGGCTTGGGCGGGGAACATTACCCCAAGATTTCAGCCTCCTAGCTTCTCAGACCCTCGAGTTATGAACTGACCCCAAAAGAACTTTGGCGGGCCCGTACGCGGGTACCACGCGGGTTTTGGCGCCAATTTTGGGGATGGGGGCTCGCACATGCATGTAGATTATGTCCTCAAAGTTTCAGCCCTGTAGCTTTTGCCGGTCTAGAGATGAAAAATCGGTACAGAAGAACACAGAGACAACCTCTCATCAATATGCGTTTTCTGCATTGCATAGCTGCAAAAAACGCATAAAAAACCTGTTTTTTTCTCGCACTTGAAATAAAACCATTGCTCCAAAAACACTTCTACTTGCTAACAAGCCAAGTTCGCTGACCCGTAGCTAAAGAGAGAGGCAGAAAAAGGAGCTGATAAAAGAAACCAAAGATTTTACCTTTTTGGAGACTTTGATCGACTTCGCAATATCCACTTCAAGCCACTCAGGATCGATGGAATTCTCCAGCTTATCAGCCTCAGCAGCCAGTAATCGCTTCGCATTCTTGAACTGCTCACCCCATTCACCACCCTGCTCCATCAGCTGCTGCTCGTTATGAATCTCGCGTATCACAACCTAGAAATTTTCAGCTTTCAGCAGTAGTTAAAATATTTTTTGCATAAGGATACTGATAAAAATGGCTGGAATTACAGCAGTCGCCTCATTCCCTCAACAAATTTCTCTAAAAGCAAACTAAGGGCTTCGTTGCATACATTTGTACCCAAAAATTTACCTTTGAAATCAAATTCAATGAATTATATTAACATCGACTAACCTCCAAAAAAAACTACTCAAATCCTCAAAATAAAAGGTAGGTGCTAACCAAGCAGTACGCTACTTTAAGTCGAAAAGCAAAACACAGTTGCCGATGCATGGGGTATTTCAGTAACGTCACTAACACTTTAATTCAAAATGACTGCCCCCAAGTGTTGGGGCTGTGCTGATGATTCCCGCTCCTAGCCACATGTACCGTTCGGCCGGTGTTTACAGCTAAGGGATGAAACACACAGAGACACTGAATCGTAAAATGTCTTCTTACGCAGATATTTTATGACTGTTAAAAATTGTAAAAACATGAAAGTGCAAAATACAAAATAAGAAATCCGAACAGGAATGTTTCGGTGCATCAAGTCGCATACACTCCTATTCAGTGCTACAACTGGACCTCGTCAGTGTGATGGTTGCAACAGAACACTTAAAACGCATTTCACTTAAATCCAATCCCTCTATTCTACTATTTCTGACTTTCGTGTTCTTCATAGAAGTTTTTGCCTCCCGATTAGCTGATGTTTTATGAACCAAGGCAGACACCATTTATCATTATAAAAACGTAACGGCAAAAGTGAACCTTTCCCGCTTGACCGGGTCCACGATTCCACACTGAAATGGCAAAAAATCACCGCGCAAAAGAAGATTTGGTGGACGTTACAAACCTGGATTTCAGCATCAAGTGGACTTTGCGCATCAGCATAACCATAACCACCATATCCTCCATAAGCTGGTGCTCCATATCCGCCATAACCTGGTGCCCCACCATATCCAGGAAAAGCTCCTGGTGGTCCTCCCTGAAAGAAACAACAATGCCTTCTTTGTCAAAAAAGCTTAACGTTTGATCCCAATCCTAGGAGGTTGTACTGATGATTCCTACTCCTACCCGCACGCACAGTTCGGTCTGTGTATACAGCTAAGAGATGAAACACAGAGACTGCGTTATAAAATGTTTTCATACACATGACATTCAACCGAAATCTTTCATTTCCTCTATTTTCACCACTCCTGCCCTACCAAATTTACAGATGCTCTTTCAAGGACAGCATTGCGGTAGTTCTCCACACAGCAGTTACCTCCTAGTGAGAGGAAGAAAACCAGATGAGCAAAGCGGATTATTGAATGGATCCCGTCTATGTGCTAAAACATGCAATTTTTTTGGCACTGTTAGCCCAAGAGGAACACAGTCGAATTTTGATAGTGAAAATACACTGGAAGTAGTGCAATATCCCCCGAATAACACACTCCTAAAACTGACCGGCAGCAGCATGCTGTCCACTAGGCAATGCAGCAGTACTGGGTCAACGCGTAAATGGAAGAGTTGTTAAAAAATGTGGTTGAAGAAACAGACCACAGATGTCCTAGATATTACGGATCTTTTTTTTTCTATTTCCAGGTACCCATATCTATATCTAAGCAAGATTTCGATAAATGAAAAAACGCGCTACAGGAAAACTTTTTTTAAAAAGATTCTTAAAATTTTTTCTTAAATTTGCAAAAAAACATACAGCAGCGCCATTATAGCCTGGACCACCGGCAGCGGCACCATAATGAAAATCTCCTGCACCAGCAGCCATTTTTTCTTTCTCAACGATTCGGAAACGACCTGAAACAAATTTCGCATTCATACTCTGGCAACCATGCACACAAAAACAAAAGGTTGTCGCCAAATTACTCTCAAAATTGACCGGGAACATCTCCTCAAAATTTCAAAAACTTATCAGCTTTTCTGGTTCTTGAGCAAGCGATTTCCCGCCAGAAATTTTCACGGAGCCGTGGGCGAAAACCACGTACACCTGGGGGCTGAATTTGAAATCTTTAAGTTCTATGTGGACGGGGAACATCCCCCCGAGACTGCTCATAATCCTCAGAAGTGTAGGGCAAGAAACGCTTCCATCAAAATACAGTCTACCAAAATCGATCAAAAACCGTATCGAATTTTGGAAGGTAAGTGCACTACTATGCCGGATTCTTGTAGCAGCTTTCCCGCGAAAATACGCATCACCTCCCTCCAAAAACCCGGAATAAAACCCCTCATTCACGC